TATATACTATATATATATATATATATAAGATAAAATCAAATTCGTTTATTACTTTTAAGACGGAAGAAAAAACTATATCGTATAATATCGAGAATAGAGCTCATTCCTGCAAATGTTTCCGTAATCTAAACCCATCTCACATTCTGACTGATTGCTCAAGGCGAATTGCACTATGAATAACGCACTATGTTGGCCAAGACCTTTCAGATTGCGTATAGTTAACTGACCCAGAATTAAAGATTTCTAATCTCGTCGAATTTCATACCTCGATCGCTGAAAAGAATAGAAAAAGCACCTTAAAAAGAAGAAAGAGAAACGTTGTTAATTCTTTGATCTTCTTTAACTGTGTCGGCCAAGACCTTGCTGCTTTCAGATTGCGTATAACTGACCCAGAGCTTCAAGTCTCGATCGCTGAAAAAAATAGAAAAAGCACCTTAAAAAGAAGAAAGAGTCTTCTTTAACTGTGTCGGCCAAGACCTTGCTGCTTTAAGATTGCGTATAACTGATCCAGAGCTTCAAGTCTCGATCGCTGAAAAAAATAGAAAAAGAAGAAAGAGAAACGTTGTTATATGTAATTCTTTGATCTTCTTTAATCTTTCGAATCGGGAGAAAATTTCTGTTATTGTTGCAGGTGATATTGGTGAAGTGGAACGAGCCCTACCAGAAGTTGGCGTCGTGCGACAGTTCCGGGGTGATCTTCGTGTGGATCAAGTACGAGGGAAGATGGAGCATAGAGCTGATCAACGACAGAAGTACACCTGTCACGCATTTCTCCTGGTCCCACGACGGTCGAATGGCTCTCATATGTTACAGGGTAATTCCATTTATGATAAATTCTTTCATTTTTTCTTTCTTCTTTATTAAAAGAATGCAAAGAGTTTTAATTGTAACAATCCTCTTAGCGGGATGACACAAACTTATGGTGGATGATGAAAATTTTATCGAGAAATAAAAAAGAATAGATTTAGATTCGCGCGATAGTTGAATGCCGTCCAATTCATTGCTATAGATACATATTATATATATATATATATACGTACATTCAGTACGTTTGAATCGACAATTGAAAATCCAACGCTTCCGTGACTTTATGATCCACGCGATTCAATGGGTCGGGCGAATTATCAGCAGGAGATGAGATTTTTATTAAAAAGTTGACGATGCGTAGAAATCTCGTATTATTACGGGCATAAGATCGAATGGACAAAGTGGCTTTAAAAGCGTCGAGGAATAAGTATTGAAAATGGTTATTCATTCTGTGAAAAGCGTATGCGCATAAAACTTCGAATAAATCGTATGTAGATTGCGTACATTGCTTTTTTTTATTCGAATTAAAAATGTTTGTATTGCAAATGTGTGCAAATAATAATACAGATACATTTCCAATTATAGAATATGTTTTATTCTTTTTTTTTTTTTTTTAAGAGAAAAAAAGTTTCGATACAATCAGGAGATAAATAGAAGCCAATTTTCGATTCATTCTCGATCCAATTAAATACGTATATAAGAATAGGAAGATATACCGATGTGGAGATTATGAATGGACTATGAAGCGACCTAGTGACCTATATTTCTCTCTCCTGGAGAAAACTACGTACGTTTTCTAGGAATAGCGTACGCTTTTCCAGGAATCGCATCTGTCACTCACAGTTTATAAGGATAGATCGGTGAGAACGATCAAAAAACAACGATCAAAACTTCTCGTTTGCACGACGATATCTCGGCGACCGAAGCTCGTATCGAAATAAATAAAAAAGCGCTCGAAAGAGGGAGAGTTCCTCGCTTCCAATGATCGAAGTAACTATTATCGGAGTTAAAGCGGTTCGAAGTTTTTCCTAATTTTAATAATCGAGATTTGAACGATCAAAATTATATTTTCTTCAAACGACGATGATATTTTTTGGAAATATGTTTGGAAAGAAGTCGAAGTAAATCAAGATGAGTTTTAAATGTTAATAATCTTTCATTTAAAGGCTTTCTAACATCTATATCAGGAATTCGAGTCGTTTTTGACGCGAGTTTTAATTATGAACGATTAAAAGAAGAACGAAAACGCAGTTTTTGTTTGAATGGACACCGTGTATATACACTACGGTGTTTTAAAACTTGGCAAAGAAGTGTTTGTCGCATTATATTACATTATATATACTATATGACGCATGTAATACAATTTAAAGAAAAGAAA